AAAAAGACAGGAAAGAAAGAAGAGATCAAGCGGATGTAGGAAGAGATTCTGAAGTTTCCTTTTGAATGTAGTAGCTCACATGAATGTAGCTAATAAAGCAAGCCTAAATGACAACCCTGAAGGATTCTCGCGGTAAAAGCATCAAAAGAAGATGCAAAACATGTACAGAATCATCGTACCAAAAAGGACAACCAATGTGCACACATTTCAGGAGGTAGCATATCTTCAAGAACTGATGGTATTGAAGGAAGAAGTTCAAGCTCCCCTGAAGTCATTCGGCCAAAAAATAAAGAAAACTCCAAGGTTTGATGAACCACCACGTGAAATGCTTCAACAAAGACATGCAATGCCAGGAGCTCTCACTGACTGAAGGCCAAGAAATTTGGAAGACAACTACCTGGGCTACTGACTGGAAGAGATTCCTCTTTGTGCCCATCCCAAAGGAAAGTGGTCCAAGAGAATGTGGAGATTGTGGAATGATATTTATGAATATCACACACAATTAAAGGTTTGCCGTGGATAATTTCAAAAATGACCATAGCAGTGCATCAACAGTGAAATACCAGAAAGTCAAGGGCTGGCCTTGTTGCTGTCGGCTGGCTCTAGGCTGAAAGCAGAGAATACCAGAGAAAAATGTTTACTTGTGTTTTATTGACTATGCCAAAACATTTGACGGTACAGTCTTTCTTATTCAACACCCAACTTAAATAGACAGAAGAGGCCGTTGAAAACACCGTGGCTCGGGTCAGGAGCACCTTAGTCCTCAAAGCGACGTCCTTCTCTTCGACACTCAAAAGAGGTCCTTGTGCAGCAGATTTGCTCTGTGCGATACATCATTCGATTTCTTGACTGCTGCTTCCAAGAGCATTGACTGTGGACTCAGGCAGCTTGAAGCCTTTTTTCTCCATTTATCGTGGGGTTCTCTACTGGTCCCGTTGTGAGGGCTGTTGTTTCCTCCACATTGAGTTGTGATCATACTGAAGGTTGTAGTCCTTGATCTTTATGAGCAAGCGCTTCAAATCCTCCTGGCTCACAGCAAGCAAGGTATGGTCATCTGCGCCTGTGGGTTTTTAGTGAGCCTTCCTCCACTCCCGATGCCTCCTTCCTCATCATATAGTCCAGCTTCTTGGAGTATTTGCTCAGCATACAGACAGATTAATATGTATGGTGAGAGGATAGCGCTCCCGTCATGCACACCTTTCCTGATTGTTAAACAATGCAGTCGTCCCCTGCTCTGTGGGGTCCATGTCCACACTGAGAAGAATGGATTCTCTAACACTTCATTGTGCTCGTGTGGAGCCTGTACATGGACATGATAAAGTAGTGTGTTAATCTGGGTAGACTCGAGAACCATATTCATAGACATCCATATGCATATAAGAAAGAGGTTTATATACAAGAGCAATTGAATATTGAGAAAATGTCCAGCCCAGTCCAGATCGAGTCCATAAGTCCAATATCTGATACCAATCATAAAGTCCTCTTCAGACTCACGAAACACATGCAATGTAGCTGAATGCAGGATGATCACAGGCCAGTGGGTTGGAAGTCTTATGGATCCAGTGGCATTGTAAGCATCTCAGCGCTGGCAGGGGTCTCTACATGGCTTCACTGGCTCCGGCTCTAGAGGTCTGGTTGCATTAGGGTAGGTCCATGTGGCTTCTCCAGCTCCCAGGGTGTAGCGCCGTATGTCTTGTCAGTAGACAGTCTCTCAGGGAGTGAGCAGAGAGAGAGGGAATTTCCAAGGAGGAAATACAGGAGTTCCCAGAATTCTCAGGAGAAGGCCATGCCCACACAGAGGCCTCATTGGCTGTGACCCGATTGACAGACTAGACTCCACCCCCTTCCCTCTTCATCCTCTCAAGTCCCAAAGTGACACTGGGTTATGTAACTCCTACAAGCAGAGTCAGCAAAACAAGAGGAAGGCTCTCCGTGAGATCGATTGGCATGGTGGCCCCAACAATGGACGCAGATGTCGTCCAGGACCAGGCAGCGTTTGTCCTGTTGGACATCGGGTCACTGTGAGTTGGAACTGATTCGACAGCACCGAACAACAACAAGTGTCCTGGAAAGGGCAGAGGATTCCCTGTGGCTTTTCCACTCTCGTTTCTGGCATGACTTCATTCCAAAGTTAGTTGTGCAGAACTATATGATGATGATGCAGGAGGCTGAAGCACTGATGCTTCTGAAGTACTGACTCTGTGGTATCAGCCCAAAGCATCGCACACTCTGTCACGAAGGCCCCTCTTTGAAGGACCAAAACAGAAAGGCAAACACATCACCCTTGTGGGCTTCTGAGTCGGTAACTCCTTACTGGAGTAGAAAGCCTCATCTTTCTCCCGAGGAGCAGCTGGTGGTTTCAAACTGCTGACCTTGTGGTTAGCAGCCCAGCACATAACCCTTTACACTACCAGGACTCCTTCCATTTAGAATCAGAGAAGCAAATACCAAAATATTTAGTTAAAATATATTAAACTGATATAGTAATCTTCCTCTAAGGGAAAGAAAATAAGTGTTGGTGTGAGGGGATGGGAGATTACTGGTTCTTGTGTTTTTAGTAGCAACCCTTGTTACTAAATTAATAAAACTGACTTTTTAAGTCAAAAGAATGCATAATTTGGACCAAAAATAAAAGCTGTTTTTTTAAAAATAAGGTAACATTACCCAACCTGGCTCCAAAATTCTAGAGCTCCACAAGCAGGTAGTTGTTCTCATGAATCTAACTTGCTTTGAAAGGAGTGACTTCTATTAATCAAGCTCCTCAGAGGCTGCTGTAAAAAACCAGACCTACAACTTATTTGCTTATAATGTAAAAACAGACCTACCCGTTTGACCCAATACTTGCTCACTGTGTCAAGCATGATGTCCAGGATATAATTGGTGTTCCACTAGTATGTGTTGGACTCTTGTTTTAATAGTGACTACATTCTCTTCTTGCAGACAAATCTGTAGTTGGTAGTGAGGGAATGTGGTGAGAAAGTGGCTTGGTAAGCAGAGCCAGGTCAAGGGTCAGTTGGAGGATGTAAGGGTTGCCTCGGGGCCTGCAGCACCCATTTCCGTTAGAGCAATGGACTAATCCTGTCTATTTACCCACTGCTCGTGGGTTAGGAAGCTTTATGGACAGGGCTTAGCCATTGCTTTGATGCTCCCTTCTCTACTTCCATTGCTTTTCATTAGCTCGCTCACCACCATCCAGAGATTCCAGGTGAGACTGGGAACCATTCTGTCCAATTGAGGAATGAACCCTGGTGACATAGTGGGTTATGAGTTGCAATGTCAGCAGTTCAAAACCACCAGCTGCTCTGTGGGAGAAAGATGAGACTTTCTACTCCTGTAAAGAGCTAACTGCCTCGAAAACTCACACAGGCAGTTCTACCCTGCCCTATAGGGTAACCATGAGTCACAATCAACTCGGTGGCAGTAAGCTTTTAAATTTAGTTAAATGTGATAATGGCATGGCAGTTACATATTCTTCAATAATGACAAAGGTCCTCAGCAATCGAGTAGGGGTAGGCTGGTGTGCTTCTTCCGTGTGAGTTTAATTGTCTCTCAGCTAGATGGTGCTTGTTTATCTTCAGGTCTTTAAGGCTTCAGGTGCTATATCTTTTGGTAGCCAAGCATCATCCGCTTTCTTCACCACATTTTCTTGTGCACCCACTGTCTTCAGCGATCATGCTAGGTAGGTGAGCATCTCAGACTGCCAAATTGTTAGAACAAAGTGTTCTTGTGTTGGGGGAGTACTTGTGTAGGGGCCCACTGTTCATCTGTTTTCTTAATCCTTGACCTATAAATATATGTACATAGATCTATTTCCCCCTCATCATATATAAATATATTTACATCTTTATATGCCTGTATTTACATCTCTATGAGTACCCTTTGCCTTCTAGCTCTTTCCTCTGCTTCTTTGTACTTTCCTCTTGTCCCACTATCATGTTCCGCCTTCATTTTGGTTTTAGGCATTCCTCTCGGTTACATTGCCCTTGATCCAGCCCTGCAAGGCCTCCCGCACCCTCCTTGACATTGATTTTGAATCACTTGTTGTTCCCTTGTCCCTGTGCTTGTTAACACCCTCTTCCTTCCTCCCCCCCTCCTCTACCCCCATGCTCCCCTGATCTGTCATGCCGTTGCAAAACTAAAAAATCCACTGCCATCATGTAAATTGCATCTCACGTTGACCTGAAATAGGGTTTCTGAGGCTAGAAAACATTTCAGGGACAGATGGCTCCATTTTTCTCCTAAAATGTGCTAGTGGACTTGACCCACCAACACGATCTTGCAGGTAGCTGTCCAGGGTTTACCTGGCAACGTCACCGGGACTACTCGTCTTGCGAATCAGAGATGCCTATCAAAGGATCTCTGAACAAAATAATAGGAGTTCAGGATCTGGCTGTAAAATAGTCTAGGAAATAGAAAGATTGGGCAGCAGGTGACCGTGAGACCTGGTTGCGGGATGCATGGATGCACTGTGTGCTCCCCTTTACTGTGGGGTCGCTGTGAGGGTCGGCATTGACTCGGCAGGGAGTTGTTTGTTTTGCTTGAGTTGATTTTTCAGTGCATTCAAACATGTTTGCAACAAAAAGATAAGGAGTAAATGATAACATGAACACATCGCCACCTGAAAGAAGGTTTTTAAATGATCACACAGCAGGCTCCCTTTCTCTCTAATGGGTGCACTGGTTCCATTGCTGTGCTTTCCAGATACACAGCCTGCTTTTAAAGGGAAAACAGAATCTCGGCCAAGGAGACGAGTCTGCAGCTCAGGGAATCCTAAAATGCGACCGGGGAAGGGGGGTGGGCTTGCTGACGAAGGTTACCATTAGAGATCTCGAAAAGTCAGCTTCCCCATAAGACAGCCCAAACCTCCAGGTTAAGATGATGAATGTCCCCCGGTGCGTGCCTCTTTCCAAAGCCCTCTTCCTCTTTCGCTTTCCAGGGGCCGTTTCTCCATCGTGAAGAAGTGCATTCACAAAGCTACCCGCAAGGATGTTGCTGTGAAATTTGTCAGCAAGAAAATGAAGAAGAAGGAGCAGGCCGCCCACGAGGCCGCGCTCCTGCAGCACCTGCAGCACCCGCAGTACATCACTCTGCACGACACCTACGAGTCCCCCACGTCCTACATCCTGATTTTGGAACTGTGAGTGCAGGCGCCATCTCTCTCAGGAGGCCCCCGGGCATTTGGGTCACCTGTTGTCCGCCACGATTGGCCAGCATGTTGACCATATGCTAGACAGTGTTTCCTCACTTGTAGAGCTCTGTCTGCGGCCTGCGCACCCCCTGGTTTGATAGAAATGCTGTTTCCATTCACTAGATCAGAAACAAGATTAAGGAAGGTGGAGTCAGGAGCTCCTAAGAGCCAGGAAGTGGAGAAGCTGCAAATTGAGCCTGTATCTCTCTCACTCCAATGTCCTCGTTGTTTGTTTGTTTCTAATGGTGGACTCCTGGGCTGTGTAGAAGGTTAGGAAAAGATATTGACAGCAGTCTCCTGACAGAGGTGGAGTGGAAATGGAAGAGAGGGGTGGATACATCAACCCGCTGCCATAGCATCAGTAATCTACCATCCCAAAGTCTCCTTGTAGCGGAGCCATACCTCCAAACATCCCCCTCACTCCAGATGTTTCAACCAGTCGGATACCCCTATCGATCCAGTAAGGTCCTGTTCTCCACCTACTACCCAGGCTAAGAGCAGAAAGCAGACTTGATGGTTTAGGGAAATCTTAAAGAGGCTAAAGGCAAGAATTCGTTCAAAAGTCCTGGGTTCTGGCAGAAATGTTATGAAATAAGTGCAAAAGACCCCTAAGGAGCCCTGGAAGCCTAGTGGTTACGAGTAGGGCTGCTGACCATAAGGTCAACAGTTTGAAACCAACAGCCACTCCTTGGGAGAAAGATGGGGCTTTCTACTCCCATAAAGACTTACTGCCTTGGAAACCCACAGGGGCAGTTCTACCCTGCCCTATAAAGTCATATGACGTCACCGTGAGTCAGAATTGGCTCGATTGACAGTGAGTTTAATTCAGGGTTTTGTTTTTTTAGTTTTGGGTTGGGGTTTGGGTTTAAAGAGGCCCCTCTCCTGGACAGAAGGTATGTCCACCAAAGACCAGTGCTCTGTGTGGCTCCGCAGGGACCCATCCCTGTCAGTAGAAAAAGACCTCCGCTGACATCTTTTAAGTGGCCTTGTGGCCGGACTGCTGTGGGCTTGCTCATCTAGACATGTGCTGAGGTGCTTCAAGGAAGCTGCAACTCAGCATGAATTCATTTCTGGTGGAAACAAAACGTCAAAACGCAAGTATCTTTGGATCCTTTTTTTTTTTTTTAACTTTGGATCCTTTTTTCAAGTAGATTTAAAAAGATACAGGAGACCAACCAACCCTGTTGTCATTTGTCATCCTTTGATGAAACAGTTTGCCCAGCTGGGTGGTAGCCAGTACATTAGCACCTTGGATTTAACACACAAATGACCGGCAAACAGCCTTTCAGATCCTGGCCCGTTTATTGGGAGCCTCCTAACTCCAAAGGCAAACACCATCTTGGATACAAGCCACAGCGTTGGGTCATGCCTGGGCGTGCAGGGGTGGCCATAAGAGAGCAGCAGCTCCCTGCCGCTTCTGGGAGAAGGGGGTGATCCCACCAGGCGGCAACAGTGCGACGGGGAGAAGCTGTTCTCGGAATGAAGGATCTTGTGTCCCCCCTCTGTGAGTTGGGGCTGCAGACTTAGTTCTCAGGGTCTTCACCAGCGATGTCTGAAGAATTAGCCCCACTTCCCAACGATGCTGTAGGGATGCCATAAGATGAAGACCACGTGGAACGAGTTTAGCAAACATCAACTGAGCACTCACATATGTGTGCCAACCGCCGTGTAGACCCGAGGCAGGGTGAGGGGGACAAAGAGGAAACGATGTTGTTCCTGCCCTTGAGTAGTTGTCAGTCTAGTGAGGAAACGAATAGAGAGATGGATACTTTGAATATAGCGTGGTAAATGCTGCAAACGCAAGGCACGCCTCGGGAAGGCTTGCTGGGAGAACGCGGACAGGGGCTTGGCTTGGTCTTGGTCCAGGGGAGATTTGTGGAGGACGCTGTGCCAGAGCTGAATCTTGCGCTGTCTTGGTTACGCTGTGGCTGTGGGTGGCCTTCAGGAGGGCTGGCCAAGAGTTTCTGGGTGACTGAGATTCTGATTGTGGTGTAGAGTCTGGATGTCTGCATTATCCCAAAGCTCTAGAGGTGAACTTGGTGGTTGAGACTTTCTGGTCTAGGAGCAGTGCTGTTACATTGCTCCTCTAAGCCTTCTGAGAGGTTCCGGGGGATGGATCCCATAAGGCCAGACCTGCTCTGCCTTTACCACCCCTACTCGACCGCTGGTGACATCGTGGGCTACATGTTGGGTTGCTGACTGCAAGGTCAGCAGCTCAAAACCACCAGCCTGTCTGGGTAGGCTGTCAACTACCCCAAAGCATTACGATCTCAGAAACCCTGGGGGGGTAGTTCTACGCCATCCTACAGTACCACTGAGTCAGAGTTGATTTGATGGCAGTGAGTTTGATGTTTTGTTTGACTCTACCTCCAGGTGGGTCAGAGGGAAGCAAAAATCGGTCTTCATGGGTCCTAGCCTTTGCTAGGAAAGTAGAAGAAGAGTCCTAGCCGTTGTCAAGGAAAGTAGAAGAAGAGTCCTAGCCGTTGTCAAGGGAAGTAGAAGAAGAGTCCTAGCCGTTGTCAAGGAAAGTAGAAGAAGAGTCCTAGCCGTTGTCAAGGAAAGTAGAAGAGTCCAAGGGGGCAGGAATGAGTTGGAAAAGAGAGCGAAAATCTGGCCAGGGTAGTCGCTGTTTTCCCTGGACGTTTCCTGGGAAGGTGCCTTCGACTGCCCAGTGTGGCCTCTGGCTTAGATGTTGGGCTGCTAGTTCTCAGGCTGCTGGTTCAAACCCACTAGCAGCTCTTTGGGAGAAAGATGAGGCTACCATCCCCTGTAAAGATTTGCATTCTTGGAAACCTTAAGGAGCAGTCCTACTCTGTCTCATGAGATAAACTTGATTCGATGGTGGTGGGTTGGGTTTGGTTTTCCACCTTTCCAGGTCACTGCCTGGCATGTTCTCTGTCCCCGAGGTAAAATAGCTGTCCTTCCTTGAGGACCTACTCGTGCTCCACATTATTCTTATGTGCTTGGGGTCTCACTGTGTCCTCATAGTGCAGTGGGTATGATGATGATGATGATTCCCACTTGAACGATGAAAAGGCGAAATGCAGAGATGGCCAGCGACCCTCCCAAAGCCCCACAGCTGGTAAGTGGCAGAGCCCGGACTCACACCCGAGTCTGGCTGGCCTATGGTGCCATGTCCTCGGTCACACACCTGAAGGATGGAAAGTCAACCCAAAGGCAAAGGGTCCCATCAGGGCCAAGATGGCCGAGGAAAAACTTGCTCGACTTTCTGCTTCTCTCTAGCTAAAAGTAGCAAGTAATAGCAGTTTGCAGAACATAGGTGAGCGTCCTGGAGCCACCCAGTTCCGGTTAGTTGTTTAGAATGTGGCTGATGGCCTCTTCCCATTGAGTTTTATAATCCAGCCTCTTTAAGGGATGGTGGGCCTTTCCCCTGTGAACAAGACGGAATGTGTTTTAAACGAGATATATGGGTTTCTCCCATGAGGCCCAACGCATTTTTTTTTCTTTTTTACTGTTGTCCTGAACATTATATCCATTTGGCTCTAGCCAAAAAACCCCAAAAAAAACAAACAAAAGCAAAAAACAAAATGTGCTGTGATGTTTCATTTATCTCCACCTTTCATAGGGAGCCAGAGCACCTTAGAGCTCTTACAGCTCTGTGTGTGTGTGTGTGTGTGTGTAAGAGAGAGAGAGAGATTCTCCCGTTGTTTTCCAAACATATTTCCTTTGCCTTCCTCCTTCCAGGATGGACGACGGCCGCCTCTTAGACTATCTTATGAACCATGATGAGCTGATGGAGGAGAAGGTGGCCTTCTACATCCGAGACATCATGGAGGCGCTGCAGTACCTACACAGCTGCAGGGTTGCCCATTTGGACATCAAGGTCAGAGGGTATGGGTGTCCTTGCAGGGAAGTGTCTGAGTCCAACGTACCGGGCATTGCCCTTGAGGAAGGGAAATTCTAACTCATCCCACTTGCTTAGATGAAAATACTTAGAAATGTTCCACAGAAGCTTGGTTGCCACGGAATTTGACTGAGTTGTTCTCGAATGGATGCGAACACCAGCAGAGTAAAAATCCCCCTGGGGTGGAAGAAGGGAAGGGCGCTTTTACACGTGTGCTCTGACTCGGGGAGGCCTGTGTGTCCGAGGAGGCCCGTGCTCCTTGGGGTTCACGTCACCGAAGGAGCACAACAGGTGTCTATCTCACGGCACTCAGAGAGAAGCCCTCGTTCTCCCAAACGAATCATTGTCCTTTCCTTGACTTGATCCCAAAGCAAGGAGTAGATAAGAAGCCATGATTTTCAACATCAAACACCCAAACCGAGAGTGTGGGTTCCCTGGACGTCTCCTGTGCATTTCGCGTTGGGAGTTTCCAACCCGCTCTTATTCTATGTCACAGAGACGTCATGCATGTCCACGGTTCCCGCTCAGACAGCTTAGAGAGCATTTCCCAATAGGAGACTCACGCGCAGTGCAGGGATTTCTAATACAGAAAACTTGCTGCCAAATGAACATTACATTCATTTGGCTCTAACAAAAAAACCCAAAACGTTCTAACTCAGAGCAACACTGTAGGACAGAGTAGAACTGTCCCCTGTGGGTTTCCATGAGCGACACCGGGGGACAGAGTAGAACTGTCCCCCGTGGGTTTCCACGAGCGAACTGTAGGACAGAGTAGAACTGTCCCCTGTGGGTTTCCATGAGCGACACCGGGGGACAGAGTAGGACTGTCCCCCGTGGGTTTCCACGAGCGACACCGAGGACAGAGTAGGACTGTCCCCTGTGGGTTTCCACGAGCGACACCGGGGGACAGAGTAGAACTGCCCCCTGTGGGTTTCCACGAGCGACACCGGGGGACAGAGTAGAACTGCCCCCTGTGGGTTTCCACGAGTGACACCAAGGACAGAGTAGA